GGTCGATGGGGGTAGATTATGCTCCCAGATGTTGAAAGAGGGATATTTATATGTTTATTCTTGCTATAACTTTGCAGTAAATATTTGTGGCATGGAGTTGACCTTTGAGTCTTCAAAGCTATTCCAGTGAAAAGTGAACTTTGGCAATATGGATTGTTGTTGTTTGTCCTTGTATTGGAAGAGGACCAGTGCCATAATGGGGTTGATGTCTTGACTTGTGCATGAATCGGGTTTAAGTGAGGCTGATGAGGCTGCCCAAAGTCATTAGAGTCCAGTGGCAAGACAAAAGTCCATTTTACAGATGAGGAAACTGAAGCAAAAAGTTAAGCAACTGATTTAGGGTCATACAGCTAGTAAATATCTGAGGCCAGATTTGAACTCAGGAAGATGACTTCCTGACTCCAGGTTTGACACTCTATCCACTGTGCCAATTAGCTGCCTGCCCAGTACAATATCTGGTTTAATGAATCCTTGTTGATTGTTAAGTCATTGATTGGAAAGTCCCACCAAGCTGGGAAGGTTTTGAGAATAGGCCCAGATACGGAATATACGTTTATCATATCACGATCTTCCCGGCTAAGGCTAGGCATTTTTTGTGGGCCAGATTTCTTCTCAAAGGATGATGGATTTTTATGCCATAACTTTTAAACATTGTCTATTATAGTCAATATATTATAATATGTTATTATGGTGCATTACAATCTATGCTGTTGAAGTGTCCACTTCGGCAAAATAATAGATCCTTGAAGTACACGATAATCCATTTCCTACCTTCCTGACTTTGCCTAGCCTGTCCCCTGTGCCTGGGGGGCCATCTCTAGTCCTGATCTATATCTAGTCACTGGACCCAGATGTCTCCAGAGGATGATGTTGGTGACCTTGCACAGCCCTGCCTCACTTAAATCCAATTCACTTACAAGTCATGGCATCATCTTCCTGATGTCGTGGTCCTCTTCCAGAATGAAGGACTAATAACAATAACAACCCCGAGTTCCTGAAAAGTTCCTGCTCCTCACTTGCATCTCATAGAATTCCTAGCTTCCACCCACCTTTAATATGATGCTTCTTCACAGTCCTCTCTTTGTACTTGTTGGTACTATACAGTAATTACTTTACTTGTTGGTACCATACAGTATTTGCTATTTTGATATTTTGTATTTATTTATTTATGTGAGAGTTCAGGGCCAGAGTCAGGAAGACTCACCTTCTTGAGTTCAAATCTGGCTTCAGAAACTTACTATCTGTCCCTGGGCAAGTCACTTAACTCTGTTTGCCTCAGTTTCCTCATCTGTAAAATGAGCTGGAGAAAGAAATGGCAAACCACTCCAGAATCTATGCCAAGAAAACCCCAAATGGGGTCACAAAGAGTTGGACACAACTGAAATGAATGAACAATGACACATTTCTGACAATAGAATATAAGCTCTAGGAGGGCAGACTTTCACATTTTTATTCCCAGCATAGTATATAGCAGGTGCTAAGTGCTGATTTATAATGATAATAATAACATTTTATAATTATAAATAAAAACATTTATAATGATAATAGCAACAACAACAATAAATAATGGCTAACATTTATATGGCACTTACTATGTGCCAGGTGCTATGCTAAGCACTTTACAGTAATCTCATTTGATTCTCACAACAGCTCTGAGAGGGAAGTGCTATTATTCCCCTTTTACAGATGAGGAAACTTTGGCAAATAGGAGTTAAGTGACTTGCTCAGGGTCACACATCTACTAAGTGTCTGAGGCTGGACTTGAATTCAGGTCTTCCTGACTTCAGACCCAACACTCTGTTTATTTTGTATGAAAAGATGGGTCATTCTCCCAATTAGTTTAAGAGTTATAGTTCTTTCGAGAACATTTCCTTTTGTTCTTGTAAAAGCGGGTGCCCACAATACATGTTAAAACTAAATGAACAAACAGATGAAAAAGCATCTACTGAGTACTCAGTATGTATACCATCTGTATGCTATACTCACTTACAGTAGCTAGGGCTGCTATAAGTACTGAGGATAAAAATTCAAAAAGCAAGGAACTTACAGTTTAATAGGGGAACAGAAGGGGGCAGAGGATATAGACTGGGAGGAGTGTTTTGGTATAGGAAGTCACCCAGATGTTAAGAAGAATCACAGGGCTATTGATTGATGTCTCCTTTTCAAGAACAGTAGTGTAGATGTGACTACTGTTTCCAGGGGTCAAAGTGGAAAGTGAGGTGGTGGGGAGAGAGGAATATAGAGAACACCGTGGGTAGAGTGCCAAGGCTTTGGCTCAGGGAGGCTATACCCAGTGGGTTGGACTTTTCTCCCCATAGGTGTCCAGAAGCTAGCATTCCATTCCCTCAAGATTTGTAGCACTATGTTGGCCCTAGCCTCTTAAAACAACTCTGCTCCTTCACCACATCCAAGGCCAGGATCCCATCTCCTGGTACCCATCTCCTTGGGCATTCTTCCTTCTTCACCCAAACTCTGAAAGGCAGGAGCTGTTCCCTCTGCACCATGAGCCATCACGCTACAATGGTGAACTTTCCCAAATCCAGAGTACAAAATGACTTGAATGTTACTGCTCATGTCTTTAGCCTGGTTCAACTTTATTACCCATTTAATGGAGTTGTGACAAAACGTAGGAGCCAAACAGCCTGGGGATCACAGAGGCTATGATGTTTATTGTGCTGAACAGAATGTGATAATCCATTAAAGGAACATTTTCAACAAGCAAGCAGTTCAAGGTACAATCATAGACAGCAACTCTATATGAAGAACAAAGCAAAAAAAAAAGTTAGAAGACACTCAAGAAACAGAGAAAAAGTAAACTGCAGTTAAACGTCTTGATACTTTTCTCCTGCAAACATACCTATCTTGCAGAAATGGTCGAAAAGCTAAATGTCCAGTCTTACCTAGCTGTGACCAACGACAGTGAAGAACAGTCCTATAAAATTTATCTCCCACAAAAATAAACTATATATATAAAAAATTTTATGATGCTCTCACTGTTCCGATGGCCACAAGCATTTTTTTCAGTCTGAAAAATGAGGTATAGTAGGCCCTAAGAGGTAGTAATGTGTTTTGATTGTACAATATATAGAAAACAAAAGACAAACTTCATCAGAGCTGTAAATCCCTCAGTGCTCAGAGGCTGATCAACATGCATTGACCACTGAGGTTTCTAAAAATGTAACATACCAAAGGCTTTTATGGAAAATGACTTTTTATTTCTTCTAAAAGAGCCACTAGTTATTTCCATTTGTCTAATGCTCAGTTAACATTAACATGCCTCATTTTAATTCTCCCTTCAACTTTTTAATTTTGGGGGGGGGCATGATTCATAACAATGAGCTCTCTGCCAGCCTCAAAAAGTACATGAGCCTTCAAATGAGCTCAGTGAAGAAGCAAGAAATGAGTGGTTTTTGTTTTTTTTTTGTTCTTCTTCTTTAGTTTCATTTGACTCTAATACTAAAAAGCCATACTGACATAAGCCTTCATGAGAAACTACCTCCTGGCCCAGTTCATAATACAATGTTAAAAAATAATAGACATACTGACTAGGAGAAAGAGGCATTAAAAACTCTAATAGGAAGCATTTAAAATAAATCTGGTTGAAACATATTACAAAAAAAAATCACATTTGTGTAAAATATATGAAAATACTCATCAAGCATTTTCTTACAATCTACTAATTTTAAAACATGTTTTTATGATTGCATTATGCAAAAGCCAAGCTCACTGCTTCCTACCTACAATGCTTCAAGTTTCTTTGAAGGTTTTTTTGTTTTTAGTGAAAAAGTAATCTAAAATGTGTTCTTTTCTATCAAAATTCTTTTACAAAAATACTTTTGATTAGGGATTAGTTGCAGTCCTAACTGTTTCAAACACGGCAGAACTAATGGTGAACGTTAACATGTTCATTCCATTTCATGTCTGGAGGTAGGTCTTTGTCAATCCATTAGTCCATTTCTTTAAACAATTCATTTGAGGTACAAACTTGGACAGTAATGTTCAAACAGTACAGCTAAAATTTTGTTTTGTTTTGTGTTTGTTTTTGCCATTGTAGTGTCATTGAAGAAAATTATCCTTACAAAACCTAGGAGCAATTCAGTACAAAAATATATTCAAGTTAACAGTACATTACATAGAAATCTAGCAGAGAGTAGAAATAAGTACATTTAAAATTGAGGAAAAATGAAGAAAAAATACATGTCATGCTGAAACACACTAAAGAGATTGCTTCTGTAACTCTAATTAAGTGGTGAGGCGGAAATGAGGAGAAAATGAAGAGATCCAAAATCATTTACCCAAAAGATATTTTTTCCTGCATTTTATGTGTATAGCAGCAAGTATTTATCAGGCTGTAAAAGTAATTGTAAAAAATCAGAGGTAGCATTGAATAGTGGGGAATATATTGCATCTGTTGCTAAAAGTGCAGTTTGAATGAAAAGATGGGAGCACTGAAATTGAGGTAAAATACCAGCCAACCATCCTATGTCAAAAGGCATCATTGGAATTAATACAAAACCCCACTTTGAGGTACATGGTATTCTTTTTTTGTTCTTTTTTTAAAAAAAACATTTAAATTGATACATAATGAAAAGAGATAAGAATCCTTTGAATTTTTCATCACTAGTAGGATGACTGTGGCATCCCTTCCACCAATTTAAAATTTATCCCTTCCCCCATGCTTCACGTTAGTTGATGTCATTAATCCAGAAGTACCTTTATTTAAAAAAAATTTTTTAAAAAGATGGTCATTTTACTTGATTACCATCTACAGATGCTTTCAGGACAATTGTTACTGATTTCTAAATGGAGTTTACCTATGGAGAAAGACAGTTCTACCCAGATGAGTGTTTTCCTGAAGATGAGTGCTACTGAGTGTGTTGATTGCTTCTGCTGATATGGTCAGTATAACCATAAATAAACAATTTGGCAACATAGATTTGCCTTGCTTCCCTTCTGCAAAATGAGTATAAAACCTCTTCTGGTTTATGAGTTGAGAGAAATGACAAATCAGCCTTAAATCTTTCTTGAAATAACAGTAAGTGAAAAAAAAAATCAAGTAAAAGTCTACAAGATAATTAAAAAAAAAAGAGTAGCATCTATCCCTTATCTTTGGTGTTCTAAACAGGGAGTTGACTAAGATAGGAGTGGGTTGTCGGTGGTGTCTGAGGCCTGTGACGTGTTTCACACCAAGCCTTTCCTGTATGAATGCCCATTATAATTAATATTACAAGTTTCTTGTTTACATGCAGTGCAGTGAATGACTAAACCTGATTCAAAGATTTTTCTGACCCATTCACCCTTTCTTAGCAGCTCAACAAACTATTAGTAGGTTAAGAAAATAGAAAACGGTAATTAAAAGTTGCATCGTTAATCTGTGTCCCCCTGTGTTACAGCAGTTTTTCACTAAACCTGGGACTGTGAAGGGATTACAAAGAAGGTGATTAATAAAGTCCTTTTTAAGGTTATGTGATTTTTTTCCCCCAGGCAAAAGTGGAAAAGACCATGGCAATAGAAAACTAAGTGGTCACGGCAGTGTCTTCTCCCTTCAAAAGACCCAACTGCTGATGAGGTAGAAATAGAATGGCGTGGTCTCCTAATCGTCTTCTGCAGATTCTTGTGAAGACGTCTCTTCAGTCTCTTCCTGAAACACATGAAAAAAAACCAATCAATTAACTCCCCATGATGGGCCTTATAAGTAAAGTGAGAGGTGACTTTCTTCTCTCTTTTTTTTTTTTTGGCTAGGCAATGGGGTTCAGTGACTTGCCTAGGGTCACACAGCTAGGTAAGTGTCAAGTGTCTGAGGCTAGATTTGAACTCAGGTCCTCCTGACTCCAGGGCCCATCAGTGCTCTATCCACTGCCCCACTTAGCTGCCCCTAGAGAGGTGACTTTCTCATAATAAAAATCATGACTTGAACTTCCAAGAAGGATGAGGCTAATTGGCAAGCACCTCCCACGTTCAATGTTTCTGAAATAGGTAGTTGAGGAATCAAGGTGTTGTTTTTTTCCCATAGCAGCCATTAACCATTGTTGATTTAACATTTGACATAGTGACAGGCAGAAAACGTAATTGTTTTCAGGCCAAAGAATGTCAGTACGATGTCTGTTTCTTCACCAGTGAGTACGGGAAAAGAAACAAATGCATCTCTATCAAGATTGTTCAAATTTGGAGTTACGGGTCAAAAAACAAGAAAAGGAAAAATGAAGGAGGCAGGGGGAGAACTTTAGCCTTCAAGTGTTAGTGGTAGTGGTAACTTCCCCCCCCCTTCAAATGTGCCCCTGCTCTTTTGTTTATTAAAGAACCAATGAGGGAGGAAGGAAAAAAAAACATTTGTGTGTGCGTGAATTTAATTTTTTTTTAAACAGCCAAAGAGAGTAAATAATTTTCTGTAACTTAAATAAAAATGATAAGCAAAGGCCTATTTGACTGCTCTGGCTTCCAGACATTTAGGCCATACATAGAAATGCACAGTCAAATGGTGGATTACCCCAGCAGCATGAATTTATTCTGTCTTTATTATGGATTGCTGGGAATATTTTTTAATGTTGAGTCTGAGTGTTCCTCCTGCTGTCTATGTCTTTGGAGTTGGTAGGGGCCTTCAGCAGACCTCCCTGCTCCCCAAGCCCTCCAACCCCCTTACCAGGCAATCCTCTTTTCTTTGCTTATTTAATAAATTTGCAGTACCTTTCAGGACATGGGTGGTAAATGGGAGACAATAAACATTTCTGATAAAAAGGGTTGTTAGCAAGAAGTTGATTTTTATCAAACGTGACCCATCATCTCCTAAGACGGCATGTGAACAAGACCTAGGAAGACTAGGTAAACATTTACTCCTACAGCTAACTGAGACCCTTTAAGAATGGCCGGCTTAAAACAGCTTAGAACAGTCTTCATACTGTAATAGATTTGATTTTCCACATGGCTTCATTTTGTCTGGGTGGCTAACTGACACAATTTATAACTCTCTTCCTTTCCCAGGCCACTATGGTACACCATTCAGTAAAGCATGCCTTAAAGCTTGTCTGCATTATATGACCAAACTTCCATTCATTAGTGTTTGAAACACTTCAGCTGTGAAGGGGCTTCTAAATGCTACCATGTGTGACACCACTGAATGAGAGTGACCGCGTGGAAAGAAAACACACACACACATCCATACATACATAACCTCTCTCTCTCTCTCACTCTCTCTCTCTCTCTCTGTCTTTGTCTCTGTCTGTCTCTGTCTCTCTGCTCTCTCTCTATCTCTCTGCTCTCTCTTTTTTCTGTTTCTCTCTCTCTCTCTCTCTCTCTCTCTCTCTCTCTTTCTCTCCCCCCTCTCCAAATCTCTCCTTTCTCTCTGTCTGTCTTTCCTCTCTCACTGTTTCTCTCTATCTCTCCTCTCTATCTCTGCCTCTTTTTCCTCCTCTCTCTCTCTCTCACTCTGTCTCTTTCCTCTCTCTCCTCTTTCTCCCTCTTTCTCTCTCTTCCCCCTCCAAATCTTCTCTTTCTCTCTGTCTCTGTCTCTCCTCTCTGTCTCTGCCTCTTTTCTCCTCTCTCTCTGTCTCTCTCTCTCCTCGTTCTCTGTCCTCTCTCTCTCCTCTCCATCTATCTCTCTCCTTTCTCTCTGTCTCTCCCCTCTTTCCTCTCTCTGTCTCTCTCTCCCCTCTCTCTCTGTCTCTCTTCTCTCTTTCTCTGTCTGTCTCTCCTTTTTCTTTCTCTCTCTCCCCTCTCTCTGTTTCTCTCCATCTCTGTCTCTCTTCTCTCTCCTTTCTTTGTCTCTCTCTCTCCCTTTTCTCTCTGTCTTTCTCTGTCTCCGTCTCTCTGTGTCTCTTTCTCTCCCCCTCCCTCCCTTGGCTTTAATCATAGGCCACTGCTTGCTGCAATCCCTTTTCAAAAGGTTTTAAACATCTCCCCCCAAAAGGCTGGAAAAAGAAGCTGTTAATCCAGGGAATAAACATACACACACAAATGAATGGATGGCAGCTTAAAAAATATAACCATAGCAGCATCTAGCCATGAGATTTAACACTGGTTTTGTTTAGTCTGCTGTGGGTTAGGTGGGAAATGTGGAAAGCATGAAGTAAAAGCCCTTCCTGCTAAATCGTGGACCTCCAATATTTAAGCCGGTAGGTTTAGACCTCTTGACGAGGCAACAGGCCATGACCCTGGGACGCTACTCTTTGGAAGACCAGACACAAAGGGAGATGTAGCATGATCAAAGCCATGGCAAGCAGAAAGAGAGAGAAACCAAGGGTCAGCTGCCTTCTGACCTTGTCTTTTCACTTAATATTTAAATTCCAGGAAGTTGCTAACCTGTCCGACAGAAACTAGCTTCATTTCGGTAATGACTTACTTCTCGTTGTGACTAAGGGATGTGGATTTAAGGGACTACTTTGAAACTCACCATTGTGATGGCTCCTTTTTTTTAAGTAGGGCAGACCTTATTTCTTTTCAAAGTTAGAAGGAATTTTTCAGATCATCTACTCCAAGCCCTCTCTTTTACAGATGTGGAAACTGAGACCCAAAAAAGGTGAAGTCAGGGTCACACAGGTAGTAAGCAGCAAAGTTGAGATTTGAAACCAGACCCTTTGACTACTACTACAAATAACTAGCATTTATTTTGTGTTTTGACTTTCATGAAGTACTTTACATTTTATTTCGCAAACCACTCTGTGAAGTAGCTGCTATTTTATAAACGAAGAAACTGAGGCAAACAGAGGTTAAATGACTTCTTTAGTGCATGCAGCTAGTGTCTGAGGAAGGATTCGAACTCTGGTTTTCCTGACTTTAGAGTCCTTGGACATTTACTATTCATTGCATCACTTATCTGTCTCTGATGCCAGATCTTGATGGGTTACTGGGGCTCAAGTAGGTTTGATAATTTGTTTGGCTTTACTGTATTATTATAGAACCGAAAGCAAATATAATAGCAAGAAATATTTCCTAATAAGTTGACACAAACAAACACAAGCAATCAACAGACAAAAAAATGCTTTAAACCATTAATAATAAGAGAAAAAACTCTCTAAAATGCAGCTGAATGATACAGTGGATGGAGTTCTAGACTTGGAGCAAGAATGCCTGAGTTCAAATCCCTCCTAGACACTTCATTAGCTGGGTGACTCATTAAATGCAAGGTCATTTAACTTTTCTAAGCCTCCATTTTTTCCTCATATATAAAACAGGGATACTAATAACATCTACTCTACATAGTTGTTAGGATAAAGTGAAATAACACACGTGTGGTTCTTTGCAAATAGGCAGCTAGGTGGTGCAATGGAAAGAGTGCTGGGTCTGGAGTCGGGAAGACTCATCTTTGTGAGTTCAAATCTGGCCTTAGACACTTACTAGCTGAGTGACCCTGAACAAATCACTTCACCCTGATTGCCTTGGATTCCTCATTTGTGAAATGAGCTGGAGAAGGAAATGGCAAACCCCTCCAGTATCTTTGCCAAGAAAACTCCAAATGGGGTCACAAGAAGTTGGACATGACATCAACAAGTCTTTGTAAACATGAAAGGGCTACAAAATGTTCTAGCTATTATGAAAATTCCACCTCACATCTCTCATATTAGTGAAGACAACAAAAGAGGAAGATAGAAATTGTTGGAGAAGATACAAGCATATGAAAGCACTTTTGGTTGAACTGTGAACCATACCTTAAAATTCACAAACGGGGTGTACCCTTTGACTCAGCAATCCCACTAACCAAAAATATAGCTCAAAGAGGGAAGGGATCCATATGTACCTAAGTATTTATAGCAGCACTTTCTCTTTTTGCAAAGAACAGAGAAAAAAAGAGAGTGCCTGTTAATTGGTTTCTTTCAAGTCTCAGTTTAGATTTTCCATTCTAAAGGAGATTTTCACCATAGCCCTTAATTCCAGTGCCTTCTCACTGTTGTTTATTTCCGATTTCTCCTGTTTATAGCTTGTTTGCATATGATTGTTTTTGTGTGGTCTCCCTCATTAGACTGTGAGCTCCTTGAGGCCAGTGACTATCATTTGCTTCTTTTTGTATTCCCAGACCTTACCAAAGTGCCATGTGTGGCACATAGTAGGTGTTTTATAAAAGTTTTCTGACTGAATAATCGGAGAATGGCTCAATATGGTATATGAATTGGATGGAATATTATTGTGACATTAGAAATGAGAAAAGGGAGATTCAGGGAAATTTGTGAGCAGAACCAGGAGAAAAACTTACACAATGTCTACAATTGTATAAAGAAAAACAACTTTGAAAAACCCAGGAGTTTATGATCAACCCTATCACCAATTACATACAATTCTAGTAGGTATAATAGATGGAGTGCTAGATGTGGAGCCAGGAAAATCTGAGTTTGAATCTTTCCTCAGTGAGACCTTGGGTAAGCTAGTTAACTTCTTTGTCCTTGGCTCCTTATCAATCAAATGAGAAGTCAAAACCTTCAATAGACTTTAAAGCCATGAACCTCTGACCGACTGTGTCAGTCCTGAAGACTGATGACAACTCATGATTCCCGTTTCTTAGTAGAGAGATGATGGAGAAGAGGTGCAGAATGAGAAATAACATTTTCAGACAAGGCCAGTCTGTTGATTTGTTTTGTTTTGTTGTTATTTCATCATTTTTCTGTCATGTCTAATTCTTTGTGATCCTATTTGGGATTTTCTTGGCAAAGATAC